AAGGGCTCCGCCCCAGTGGCTCTGGAGTTTCCCATGTTAACCTTATGAGAAATGGAATTAATGAATCTTAACAGCTGTTTCAATTAAACAAGTTGGTTCTGTTCTATGATGTTCAATAGCATTAAAGTTACAAGGATTACCAACAGGGTGCAGCACTATTATTTCTTTTACATTTATGACAACAGCTAATTTGCAACCAAAAGGTGAGTGAGCGTAGCGAACGAACTTCAACCTGGAGGCGAGTTAGCGTAGCGAACGAGCTAACCTGAAGGCAAGTGAGCGCAGCGAACGAGCTCCAACCCAAAGGTGAGTGAGCGTAGCGAACGAGCTCCAACCCAAAGGTGAGTGAGCGTAGCGAACGAACTTCAACCTGGAGGCGAGTTAGCGTAGCGAACGAGCTAACCTGAAGGCAAGTGAGCGCAGCGAACAAGCTCCAACCTAAAGGTGAGTGAGCGTAGCGAACGAGCTCCAACCCAAAGATGAGTGAGCGTAGCGAACGAACTTCAACCAGGACGTGATTGAGCGATGCGAACGAGATCATCTTGAAAATTAAACGTAACGGTACTTTCTTTCCATCGGTCTGTCTTAGGGGAAACCTATAACCTAGGCGATACAAAGTTCGCCGGGTCAGCTAGTTTCTATATATAATTCAGTTTCAAAAATCTTTGTACAACTAAATATAGAGTTCTACTGGACCGATTTTATTAATTAATGTGTCGTTGGAAAGCCTAATTCGTGTAGATTTGCAAAAAATTATGAAAGTTTGTTTTTGTTATGATTTATGGTGAAAAATAAAAAAACATGTTTTCCATAAGAATTCATTGAAAACGGTGTTTTTCAGACTTTTTATTTGGGTGAGACTTTTGGCTGCCTTTTTGAGTGTTTCCAAGAACTGTATGGTACCAATTTGTAGGAAATTTTATTCTCTTTCAGAATATCACCTTCCACTTTAGTCGATTTCCTCACCATTTAAAAGTTATTTGCAAAAAAGCTAAGCAACCTACGCATTTATAGTTATGAGAAAATATTGAGTTAGTGATATTTTTGTTAAACTTTGTACAACTAAAACTAGACTTCTACTGGACCGATTTTGTTAATTAATGGGTCATTGGAAAGCCCAACTCATGCAGATTTGCAAATAATTATGAAAGTGTGATTTTATTAAATCTTTGTGGTAAAAAAGTAAACAAAATACATAAAAACTGCTTTTTCAAGTTTCTGTTTCCAAGTTTTAATTTGTAGCCAGCTTTTGGCTGTCTTTATTAAGAATTTTCAAGAAATGCATAGCAGTTATTTTTGTAGTTAATTTTATTCTCTTTCAGAAGATCACATCCACTTTGGTCGATTTCCCCTCGATTGAAAAGTTATTGGCAATAATCTAAGTGATCTCCAAATTTATAGTGGTGAGAAAATACTGAATTAGATATATTTTTGTTAAACTTTGTACAACTAAATCTAGACTTTTACCGGATCGATTTTGTTACTTAATAGGTTGTTGAAAAGCCTAATTTGTGTAGATTTGCAAATAATTATGAAAGTTTGATTTTATTCCATATTTGAGGTAATACATTATAAATAAACAATATTACATATGAAACACCTTTTTCTCCAAGTTTCTATGTCCAAGTTTATATTTGTAGCCAATTTTAGGCTGCCTTAATTGAGTATTTTCCAGTAATACATAATAGTAATTTGTAGGAAATTGTATTCTCTATCAGAATATCACCTTCCACTTTGGTCGATTTCCTCACCATTTCAAAGTTATTTCCAAAAACGTTGAGCAACCTCCAAATTTATAATGGTGGGAAAATACTGAACTAATGATTTTGTTGTTAAACTTTGTACAATTAAATCTACAGTTCCACTGAACCGATTATATTAATTAATAGGTCATTGGAAAGCCTAATTCGTGTAGATTTGCAAATAATTATTAAAGTTTGATTTTTCAAAGATTTACTACGTGAAACCCGTCAAAGTCGACAGTTACTGTTGATGTTGAAAGCAAGACCGTTTGACTATAAATCGATGATAAATAACTCAATTTTTTTTAAATTTAAGTTGTTTATGATTTAGCAGTGTACTTTAGTCACGTCTGATCTTAATAATCAATAATTCAAATGGAAGCTGGTATTTCACTGAAGGTTCTTATGTCAAAACAAATAGAATAACGTAATTAGAATTGAGTAAATATATCTAAAAATAAATTACATATCCAAGATATTAAATTTATGTTTTCTGATTGAGCGATACAGTATATCTTTAACGTAACTGATTAAAACTATCAATATCTCAAGTGAAAGCCTTTGAAGTATTTTAATACCAAGACATATAAAATAACTTAAATACAATTTGAGTTACTTATCATTGATTGCAGATAAGTACTAAAACGATTTATTTATTATCGAAAGTTATTTTATTGGGTTTTTATGAGAAAATAACATAATTTACAATAACTTAGAACCATTTTAACAGAAATGGAATTTGTACCATTTTGTTCAGAATATAAAGGACTATAACATACTAAAATTTTATCAAAATCGTTTGTGCCATTTTAGAGAAAATATTATTTTCCTGTTATTTTATGGGGTTTTTTATGGGAAAATCGCCATTAAAAATCAAAATTTCTTAAAAATGAAAAAACCTATCAAAATTGTAAGGACAATAACATACTTTGTTAAATCAAAACCGGATTTTTTTCTAAAATCCTATTTTTTGTTATTTTATGGGTTTTTTATGGGAAAATAACATAATTTACAATAACTTTTGAATAGTCATTTTTACAGAAATGGGATTTGTACCATTTTGTGCAGAATATAAAGGGCTACAACATACTAAATTTTTATCAAAATCATTTGGGCCATTTTTGAGAAAATCTGATTTTTCCGGTTTTTTATGGGTTTTTATGGGAAAATCCCCATTAAAAATCAAAATTTCAAAAAAATGAAAAAACGCCCGGAGATACCATGGATTAGAACCTACATACCAAATTTCATCGAAATCGGACCACAGGTGTAGTCCCTAGCTCTGTACACATCCAGACACATAGACACACAGACACACAGACACACACACACACACAGACATCACATCGAAAACCACTTTTTTGGGTACAAGGGGACCCAAAACGGATGTATCCACTCAAAACTCAAACTCAAAAATTTTGACGAAAACAATACTTTCTCCATATACTATGGTATAGGGGGAGAAAGTAAAAATAGATGTTGATTAGCGCTGTCATTTAAGTGGAAACAAATGTAAAAGTTTAATTAATAGTGGAAGAATATTAGGAAAATCGACCTAACAAATTCGGACTAAGTGGAAACTTTGCACAGTTGTTTAGTAAGCCTAAATAAACAAAATATCAAAAGTCCCCATAAATCCCGGCTGTGCTTCAGCCGCCATCTTGGAAAATGGCAGCCAATTTTCACTTTTTTGACAATATTTCACAAACTATTGGTATTAGAGAATTTTTGTAAATACAAAAGTTAAAGAACGTCTAAAAATACATATTTTTTATAATACAAGGTTTGCTCTATCTCTAACGGCTATTGAGATAAATAATAAAAATAGTATTGGATTTAAAATTCCGATGTTATTCTTATGGAGGAAAATAAAATTGTTGCAATTTGCTTATTTATGGATATATTTGGATCAAACTTGGCAAAATTATTTATTTTATACTAAGCTATTAATATTTAACATAAATACTCACTTTAGTACTCTCCCTATAGCAGTAAACCGAGTACTCGTTTAATTTAAAGTTATCTATATAGGGAATATATATTACATTTTAGGATAAAACCCAGTCAGGTAAATGGATATTAATTTGTAAATCGTATTAACAATCATTTTTTCTTATTAGTATTATGATTTTAAGCTCACTAACTAACTATCTTGTCACTACTATGTAACTACTCAAAACTCACATGGTACGTAAATACTCCCGGTGTAATTATTTTGTCGGTAAATATTAGGAAATTCAACCTTAAAATTCGGACTAAATTGAAATTTTGCGCAGTTAAGCACAGTAAGCCTAGTTGATGAAAATGGCAAAAGTCCCCACAAATTTTGGCTGTGCTCAGCTGCATTAAGTCCGGATTTTAAGGTTGAATTTCCTAATTTTCACCGACAAAATAATTATACCAGGAGTAATAAGTAGGCTTACCATGTTACATAGTAAGTTACATAGTAGTGAAAAGATAGTGAGTGGACTTTAAACTTTAATACTAATAAAAGAAAACTATTGTTGATCTGTCAAAAAATAAATTTCCATTTGCCTGACTGGATCATTACTAAAATATTTCTTAAAAATGTAAGAATATTCCCTATTTAAATACGGTAACTTTAAATTTAACGAGTACTAGGTTTACTGCTATGGGGAGAGTAATAAAGCGTTTATTTATGTTAAATATTAATAGCTTAGTATAAAATAAATAAATTTACCAAAGTTTGATCCAAATAATCCATGAATAAGCAAATTGCAACAATTTTATTTCCTCCATAAGAATAACATGGGAATTTTAAATTCAATACTATTTTTATTATTTATCTCAATAACCGTTAGAGATAGAGCAAACCTTGAAATATAAAAAATATGTATTTTTAGAAGTTCTTTATCTTTTGTATTTACAAAAATTCTCTAATACCAATAGTTTGTGAAATATTGTCAAAAAAGTGAAAATTGGCCGCCATTTTCCAAGATGGCGGCTGAAGCACAGCCGGGTTTATGGGGACTTTTGATATTTTATTTATTTAGACTTACTAAACAACTGTGCAAAGTTTCCACTTAGTCCGAATGTGTTAGGTCGAATGGCAGTTTTATCCCTAAATTCCTGGACTATAATGGAATAAAAAGAATACTGAGTGGAGCGGATTGGAACCAGGGATCCTCCTCATGAGAGGCGAGTACTCTACCTCTGAGTTACGCCCTGCCACTGCAACAAACTAAAATGGGAATCGAAATTGAAAATTTCTGGAATCGACCCATCACTATTCATTACCTTCATCATCCAGTTTCTGCTTTTTTTCTAAAGGTTCTTTGTCATCTGGTTCCTTTGTTTCATCTTCATTGCTTGGTTTCTTTGCTGTTTCGTCACTGTCATGTTTTCTTTTATTTTCCTTTTTAGCAGGTGGTTCTTTAACATCACTTATCTTCTTATTTGGCTGAAATCTATCATTGGCATCAAATGATTTCACACTTAGCAGTTCTTCAGGGGCCATATGTGGTGATAAGCAACAACCTTTGGCAGTCAAAGCCTAGAAACATAAATTCACCTCAGTTTTTCAACAGAATATTCCAATAAGTTAATCTCACAACAAACCAGACCATGTTAATCAAAATAACCAAAATCCATGCAACAACGTTATATGGTGTTTTATAGCAAAGATTTATAAATTGGTCTATTGGTCAAAACTATGCCAGTACCTTAAGTTAAATACAAATTAAATTTTTCCAAAAGTTTGAACTTAAAATTCAGTTTGGACAGTAGACAAGCAGATAGCATAATAGCTAAGCTCATCTCCAAATTAAATTAATTATTTATTTAATTCATGGAAAACTTTTTTCTACACATAAAACATTCTTTCAAATACTGTATATACCAATTTCCTTATATATAAAGAAATTGGTGGAACCCTTTTTTGAAAAAGTTCCTTCAAGTTAGTCCTGGTCATGTGATAAGAGATAGATGTAAAGTACAATTTTTTTATCTGTCATATGCAAGACTGTAAAAGGTTCAATATTCAGAACAACAAATAAATCTTATCAGCAGTGAGGGTTGTATGGTTTTGTTTAGGATTATAAGGACTGTTACATACTTAATTTAAATCAAAATCTTTGTATACATCCACACATACAGACAGAAAACACTTGGGTTCAGGGGACCTCAAAACTCAAACTCAAAAATTTAGACGAAATAGTTATTTGTGTAACTAGTGGGGGAAGTGGCACTTTGCTGCACTTGAGAAAAATGTTTATGCACGAGCCGTGGGCGAGGGTGGAAAAGTTTCTTGAGTGCAGCAAAGGCAGTTTGCAGTTACACATTATATTTTTCCTACAGTTTATATAAAGCATATAAATAATTAGTCTTTCAAACACTGTAAAACACGTTTTTTTGTTAGGTTAAATCCAAACATTGAACAAAATGGGAAACGCTGCACCAGCTGATCGTAAATCGTAAGTGTTGCCAACTTATTTTCAAGCGTACATGTATTACATGCCTAGTAAAAGCACGCTGTTTTGTGTTGTATGGTTGGAATACTGGTGTGCGGAAAAAAAAACTGTGAGGCAAAAATAAAAATTGTGCGGCAAAAGTAAGTCGATGCAGCAATTAGCAACTTTCTGTGCCATAATCAGTGCCACTTTGTCAGGTGACTGTAGGAAAACAATATTTTCTCCACGGACTAGGTGTATGTATAGGGGGAGGAAGTAAAATGGATACCTATTTCAAAAAAGGTCATATTTGCAGTAAATTTACAATGATGAAAAAATAACAAAATTTGCGAACGAATGACGAAATATGCAACAAAATTACAAATAAAGGAAACTGTCAAAACCAATTTAAGTATTGACAGCCATACACTTGCAAAATAAATTGAAAACGTGTTGTTATTGTCAAAATGTCGATAATCAAGTGCCTCAGTAAGAGACTTTGATAAAGCCGGTATGATATGTCTAATATCCTGATAAATTGGCTATCCCAAGGTTCTAACTTGAAATTGGATATTGGGTGTTCAACTTTTTGGGGAAATGAGAACTTACCTCTAGGGCTTTTTTTGCACATTCAGGATCTCTAAATTCAATGAAGGCAAAACCTTTGAACTTTCCACTATGGGAATATCGTGGCAGGGAAATGTAATCAACAGGACCAAATTCTGAAAACACTTTTGTTAAAATGTCATGGTTCACATCTGGCCCGAGTTGCTCCTGTAACATAAAATATAAGATAATTTAATGCTAAATGTCAGTAAGTCAATACATTTAGCTACCCAACACACTCTACAATTAATTATATGGTTGTAATATCTTTTATGCTTGAAGTTTAATAATTTCTTAACGTAAAAAACAGGATTAGGCGGTAAAACAGTGTAATTTAAACAAATCTTATACTAACCAATGTGACATCTTTTAAACATGTCTATCGTCTTGTGCATTTTTAAGCTATGTGTAGTAAGTAAATCCAAAACCATGTAAGATTAACCGTGTCTGTGTGGCTTATCATAGGTACTAATATGTAACTGTGAATTAAATTAAATAACTAGCCATCATCCAGGTCGGGAACCGGAGATTCTGTGTGTATCAAGTTGTACTCGAGTTTTGATTACCGGAAAAAAGACTGCGTGAATCAGTGTTGTACAGGACTGGGAAACTTATCTTTCTATATAAATAAATTTAGATTTTTATAAGTCACCTCAATATAAGGACATTTTTATTGCCAGAATATCTACATAGCAATCGTAGCCTCTGCTTAACGAATTGTCAGCGTCTTTCTCTTGATATAATGACCCCCTCTCCCACATAATCGTTTTGGAAACATCACAGCTCCTTTGGTGAAAATTAAATGGACAAATGACCTCACACAGGACTAAATTTTTTTAAAAGAAACCATCTTATGCAGGTAATAGATTTTTTAAATTTATTCCAAATAATATTAAGAAAGAAGTAAATGCAAACAAATTTTTACAAATATTGAAAGAGTTTTTAATAAATTTGGCAATTTATTCTTTTGAAGTTTTTTCTACCTCCCTCAGTCGCTATGATAGTTGAAATTATCTTACTAGATTTATAATATGTATATGTTGTTTAATAACCATTCCTTATGTTTAGCTTTTTTTAACCTGTTGAATTATTTTGACACTATTTATTGTACAATGTACATAAAAATGAATAAAGATATTTGAATTGAATTGAATTGAATAGTTGTACTAATGGGAAACAAGATCTTTCTTACAATTTTGAGTTTCAATATAGTAAAATGCCTACCACATAAATAGTACAATCCTCCTCATTTTCTTTTTTCTTTATTGGAGTTAGACGACATACTTGAGTTTCATCTTCTGACAATTGAAGAAACTGTGAGTGTTTAAGAGATTTGACAAGATCTGTGATGTCAGAAGTCAAAGCTTTTACTCGATTGAAGGTAAGGAAAACTGAGAGATCTATGTATACAACTGAAACAAAAATAATGTTTACTATTGAAGAAGTAGTACAAATAGGTTACCTAAAAATTAAGTTTTTAACTACAAAAGTGTGAAAAGATATACATACCACGTCTACATAATTGGTTATGTATATAATTAATCCCTGGAACAAAACTGATTACCTATATCATTCAATACTACATGGAAACATAAATACCCCCACCGCAGCAAACCTGCGGACTGAGCAAATTTACATTTGCCTAATTAAATCTATTTAAATAGCATTGTTTAACGAGTACCTCGGATTGCTGCTACAAGAAGTGTATTTTACTTTCCCCCCTATACTTAGTATATGGAAAAGTATTGTTTTCGTCAACATTTTAGAGTTTGAGTTTTGAGGTGATATATCCGTTTTGGGTCTCCCTGAACCCAAAAAAATGGTTTTCGAAGGGATGTCTGTGTGTGTGTGTGTGTGTCTGTATTCACCGAATAGTGGCATCCTTCACAGGCACATGGCCGTACTGTGGCACCTTGAAAAATTGTGGCACCTTTTTCAGGGTGCCACATCTAATTCGATCATTTTTGGGTTTTTCCAGCATTATTACGTCGTTTAAACATCACATGCCACAATTGAGTATTTTTCATCTCGTCCATGTGTGTTTAAGTAGTGCAGGCACACGCCGAATTGTGGAACACGAAACCATGCCAGCAGCTAGCGCGCCTCGCGTCGTCCACCGAAACTACAACTTCCTTAATGCTGCGTTGCCAATTCTCGCGCCAGCCTACACTCTAGTTTTTAATAGTGGCACCATGCCGCAATTCAGTATACATCAACAGTGTGTGGACAGGATGCCACATAATGAGTTGTAGCGCTTGAGAATGGATAATTTATTAACTGGTAAAATTACAGGAACAATCTTAAAAGTCACTCGAATCCAAACTCTAATAATGTTCATCATCTATTGTTGGTAAGCATCTGCTTATGCCTTCTAAATTGAATCATAACAAATAACAAATCTTCTGGTTATATATATGAAACATAAATTAACTTTACAACTCCTTCCAATGTAAAATAAAAACTATAATAATTATTTAATATTGTTTTTATGCCACCATTTAATATTTATATTTTTTTTTACAAACATGAATTGTTAACATAGTTACTTTGTATCAATTGCATTTTTACATTGAAACAATAGGCCTAACAATGTTTTAGGTTAGAACACTATATAAATTGCCCTATGGTGCAATTTTTTATCTTACAAACAAACTATTTTGTGCTGATACTTCTATTTTATAAACAGTCTAGTCATGTTGACAAAATATTTTACAATTACATTTCTGAATCACACAGTAAAGGTAGATTTCGATGCATCATTGCTGAAAGTTATGTTTTGCTTCTCACTCTCAGAGTATTCCAAAGACATCTAATGTTTCAATCCATGTTCAAATGTTATTTGAGGTAAACATATAACCGAATCAATAAAAGTACTTAAATTAAAATACATATTATTATCAACATGTAAACTAGTTCAGCTTATATATCATCTCACAATCATATTTGCAAAACCTACTGTGGTGTTTTAACCAGTCCCCACTAACAAAAGCATAAAATGAAAGGGCCTTAAAGTTTGAGTCATAACAAGAGTAGTTTAAAAGTTGTAACCGTGATACTGTAAATAATTTTATATCGTTTCATATTATACAACTGTTGTACAATTTTGTCAATCTATCTGTTACTTTAAATATAAATGTATTTTTACTATTCAATGTTTTGTTTTGTAGAATCTTTGGTATTCTCAACTTTATTAATAATAAACCTATTTCAACATACAATATCAATTTGAGGAAATTCCTAGTATGGTTGGAAATATATTGGCATGCGTGAAGTTTGTGTTATGTTTTTTAAAAACACAATGTGTTATATTTTACTTGATTTATTATTTATTTAATATGTTTCTACTTCTTGAAATTCTCAGTTAACTGGGAGGCGGAGCAAACATTTTGTTCTAAAATGAACTTGAAAATTCTAAACAATCTTTTTTCTGTTGGTTTACTTAAAGTCTATAATGTTCTACTATGAATGCAAAACTATAAAATAGTATAAATTTCCAGTCTCACCCTCAAAAACTATGATATTTAACAGTTGAATTTTTATAATGAATTATTTTTAATTTGTCACCAAACTGATTCTTGAATTTTAGAATTAGTAGTTGCAAGAGTACGCAAAACTGCAGCGACCCCTTGAAAATGCTTGTGCAAGGGTATAGTTTCAAATGATAAAAGAAAACCTTCAAAAAATTGTATTAACAGGACCAGATGACCAATATGCGCATGGTGTTTCATTTGTAGGAGGCAAAATATTCAAATCATATTAATTTACGATTTCCAATAGATTTTGGGTTTCCTTAAAAACAATTATATAAAACTGTCCGCAAACGTCGATAAAACTAATTTTATAAAAAATGGTAGATATTCTTCTGTTGATCTGTAGGCGACTATTTTGGTCACACAAGGAAGTCCAAACTTATATCTTAGTTTGAACAATGTCATCTTGATTTTACATTGCACAAGATACATAATCGACACATAGGCTTACTAAAAAAGTAGTGAAGACAGTAACTTGTGAAATGGACCGCGCAGGCAGAAAAACGGTCTAGACTTGCATCTAAGACTCTTGTTTTCCAAACGAATATAGAAGTTACATCTTCATTCTTCATTTTAGGCTTGAAATAAGTTTGTTTGTGGGTAAGAGCGAATGAGTAAGCAGGAACAATAATTAAACCCTTTACCCTTCTCCCTGACACACGCACCATACCACAGCATCTTACTAGCAGAGCTCAAGGTCATTGACGTAATTGTAATGTACTAAATTTAGACTTCCACCCCCCCAATATCACCACTAGGCCCTAAAGGTTGGTATGTAACAATTCATGACGGTTTGATTTTTTCTGGCGGCAACGAGTTTCTAAAACTAAAATTTATATTTATAAATCATCAAAAGCTATGAATCCCCTAATTTCAATATTTTGTAGAACTTGTAATTTCATTTTGTACTTGTAATTTATTTTTGTATTTAATCATGTCTGTGTCTGTGTCAAAATTAACACCCTTTGTACCATTTTTTTTTTTTTTAGGGAGAGGTGGGAAAATGCATTTATGCACACAGGTGGCTAGCCTGTAGTGTGGGACTCCAACGGGCTTAAGGCCCAGAGACTACCCACTAAAAACCTCCTCTACTCTTCGGACACTAGCCTGGGAACACTTGTCGCACTTCATCAGAACTAGGCCGAGTTTGCCTACGCCCGAGGGGCTTACGCCGTGTCTAGCCGTTTATTTCTTATCAAATCTAGACTATGTTCCGATCTAGAACGTTCTTTTTAGCTTGAAGGACATTCCGGACAAAGTGCGACCAGCAGTCCCGGTTGTCCTCACCCTTCAGCAAGGTCTCACAGATCGATTCAATCGATAGCACCTCAAGATGTTGAATGGCTTCCTGGCGAAGCATATCCCATTGATTGATTGATTGATTCTGTAGGGGCGGACCTTGTCCTGTTGCACGTCAGCCACTGATGGGCTTTTTGCGCTCCCCACATGGTACTTCAGAGTCCGTCAAACCTGAGTTGCTTAATGAACTCAAGCATCCTGTCAATGAGCTCCTCCTGAGGAAGGTGTCTGCCCCTTGTCATTGCACCAAGAGTACTGTTCCTTACCTCATTCAGAGCTGTGCAGTCGTAGAGTAGGTGATCAGCAGTCTCCTCTGATTGCCCACATTTCCTACACGCAGTGTCACCATTGTGGATCCTCAAGCGATGCAGAACCGAGCATATCCCATTGTGGACAGCGGAAAAAAGTGTGTTCCGCATCGTCGGGAATGCATGGGCAGTAAATGCAGTCAAGTGAATTCGTTTTGGCCATCAAGTGCAGGTACGACTGAAAATAGCAGTGACCTGACAAGAATAGTCAACCTCACCGTGCCGCCGTTCCACCCACGGTTGGACCTGCCTGATGATGGCAGTCCATGTCCTCGAGTCTCGCTTTCCCAGCTTTCTTGCCACATCTGAAAAGTGCGGGAGCGCTCTTCTGTTCTTGCAGCGTCCTTTCCGATGTAGCCTTGTCTCCGGTAGATTGTCTTCCTCTCCGCTGCCAAGAGTTTGACTGGGATAACTCCAGCGATCACCAAAACGGCCGGTTCGGACACCGTACGGTACGCGGAAGCGACCCTGAGTGCCGCCTGACGCTGCACTCGTGCGAGCCTCAACCTATACGCCTCCTTGTTAAGCGCGTCTGCCCACACCTCAGAGCCGTAGAGAAGCACGGACTGGACTGCAGACATCAGTAGTCTTCTACGGCTGATCAGTCATCCAGGTGTTTACAACGCGCATGACTTCAGTTTCAGTTGGGCTAGCTCAACGTTGCGTGCAGCAATGAGGACTGCGACGTCATCGGCGTACCCAACTAAAACGGTCTCCTCTGGCATCTCAGATCTCAGAAGGCTGTCGTAGGTGTACTGATGATCACTTGCCGTGAGATCTTCGATGACTCTCCAGTTGGAGATCCGTGCTAGTAGTGATTCTGACGAGAAGGAGATATCGGGGATCGTACCTCTCATGCCAGGGCGCCGGAAAGTAGGCGTGTCGCCCTCGTTTAAGACGACAAGTCCGGCCCTGGCGGCAAAGTCCAGGATGTATTTCCCCCGGGAGTTTGTAGAGGTCATACCCCACTCCACAGCCCTAGCATTAAAATCACCAGCAACAACGACATGCCCAACGGTACCCCGTACACTGTCTTCTAAGCGGTCAATCTTCAGACGGAATTCCCGAATTGGCTCGTTGGGGGGTAAGGTAGACACTAAAAAACGTGACGTCCCTACACCTGACCCAAACGAAGCCTCGGCCGCGTCCGTGATCTCGCACTGGTGCTTCCGTGCTGTTTTGAACCCAGCAAGCGGCAGTACCGAGAGAATCTGGGAACCAGAAGTGTGGGTCCCTGTCACGGTACTGCTCGCTGATCAGAAGGGTGTCCGCACC